ATGCTTGGTGGAAGCGATCCCCTGAAGCCCTCCAGTGAAGTAGCGTCAAGGGTGATCTTTGAAAGTGCATTCCACGCAGTTACTGTCCGAGGGACTACTACCAAAACTACTACTACTACTACTACTCTCCTACTACCTCTACTGCTACTACTTATACCGCTCTCACGAATGATCGTGCTATACTTCATCATTACTATATACTTAAATATTAACAATACGTCTTACAACGTCATTATAAGGACATAAGTAGTGAAAAATGAGTCATTCAGTAGACATGACCATTAACAGGACATGTTTGTGTCCTGTTAACTGCTCTCTACATACGTTGCAGGCAAATGAAACTTAAACGCCTCTCAAGAAACGAAAGGTTTAAACATTAGTCAAAAGTTTAATTGGCTATATTGTTTTCAATTTAGGGCTAGGGGCAGGGTTAGAGTTAGGGTAATATACCAGTTTTTATGATGTCCGGTTAATACAACATGTAGGGTTATATATATATATATATATATATTTCGTATTATCAAAATTTATAATCACATCAATCCTTTCTTGTTGTATTACAGGTGTCTGTTTCCTAAGATGGATTACCGTTATATATTGATCATCGTCTCTGTCTTGACCAGTGTTTCTAGTTCTTTCGGATCACAAGGTAATCTGCCAAACTCTTAACCACCAGAGACTAACAAAGCTGTTAAAATTAAGATTCAGTGTGTCAACAGCAACGAAAAAGTAAAATATTTTCATCAATTTAACGTGATGATTGTTTTTATTACATCATGAACGATTATTAATAATAATAGCTCACATTAATTTTATAATGCGCCTTATACTTTGTCTATAGGCGCAGTACATATTAAAGATACAGATTAATGAAACAGAATATTCCAAAGTATTATGATCTAATTAAAAAAGAGTTAATGACCGCTGAGTTGGGCGCAACCATTGCCAACAGTTCCTGTTTTGGGGTGTATTAGTTTGGGCATTGCTTGTTATGCAACCAGTTCTATTTTTTCTTTTATTTCTCATCCCTTATATACATCTGGTAATGATAGTGTCTAGTAACATTTACATTATAAGTTACGTGTATGCTTATTTAACGAATATACTTGACATGAACCATACATTATGCGGAATCGCTGAGCCAATTACACTTTTGTAACTCTTTAGAATGAAAGAAGGATGTCTTCCACTTTAACTGAAATATTAATGAAGAAGATAGTCATGTCTTCTGAATTTGTGTTGAATGTCAACTCCAGTCTAAGTTAAACCAGAGTTTAGTATATGGGCCAACGGGTCTATTCCAGTAACAGGTGTACTCATGAAAAGGGATCTGATACTACTGGAAACATGTTCAATAATAATGATATTAAAAACGGTGCTTATAAAGCGCTTACCACCGAATTTTCTATAACAAACAAAATATAATGATAAACAATTACATATTAAACAAACAAACAATTACAAATAAACCTACAAATTACAATACAATACAATTAAAAATTGTATTACACAGAAGAAACAACATTGATGTTCCATATACCATCTGTGGGAGTGTCGTGGTCGAGTGGCTTAAGGCACTTGACTGGAGATGTGAAGGTCGAGGGTTCGAATCGCAACATATTTTTTTAATATCCTTTGGCAAGATATTAACCTACACTTGCTACTCTCCACCCAGGTGTTAAAATGGGTACCCGGTAGGATGCGACCGTCATTGTTGGTCAAACAGTTTTTGAGCGTCAAGTAACGCCTGGCTGGAATGCTCCCCATGGAGTGGAGATTGTGCACACAGTATGTGCGGGCAAGCACTGAATCCAATAACCGGGGTAATAGTATATCTGTAAAGCGAGACATCCGAGATGTAATAAGCGGTATATAAAAGCTGAATATTATTCTTATTATTATCCCGACTGTTTTATGTTTTAATATACTGTTGTTGTATTGTTGCTCTTCTATCCAACGGGTCATGTGTATATTCTGCTATTATTTTGATCCAGCTATAACGACATCAAGTGGGAAAACGACAACTCTCCAATGTCCGATTGCAAACCTTGTCTCTGATCTGCAGTCTCTCTACTGGAGGAAAGATGGGACAACAATCTATTCCTTAACAGGCAGTGGGGTGCATACTATTGGGAAGTACCTGGTCACTTTAACAGCGTCTCTCGTCATACCTGATGTCACGGAGAGTGATGCTGGAAACTATTCCTGTAAAGTTGTTCGGCAGTCCTTAGCAACCGAAGAGAGTGATGTCATGCAGCTATACGTGATAGGTATGAAGTAAAAATGATATGAACAGGAGAATTACACGTACTATCACATTCAATTAATCATTTTTTGGGGCAGAAAAATTACGCCTCATGTGTAACGACCATTATACTTAATTCATGGCGGACTCATTGCACTGTCAGAATAATTATTAGTTTCTCATTGTATACTGAAACATATTACCGAAGCATAAGGCCTACAGTATGTTTACACTCAACTAGAGATTTAGAGAGATCGCTATTGGAAGTCCTCAGACGTGTCGGAAACTACTTAGTATCCCTTGAACTGAGATGTAGGGAAGGAGCAGGTGTTCAAGTGACTTTTGAATCGATTTACATCTTCAACTGTCATTTGTAAAGCTGATCTTCTACGACGACTTAGTTCACAGGTGTTGTGCTCTTCATCATCTTCTTCTTGTTCTTCTCCTTCTTTTTCTTTATCTTTTTCTTCTTCCTTTTCTTCTTCTTCTCCTCCTCATCCTATTCTTTGTCTTTTTCTCTTTTTTCTTTTAATCTATTTTAGACGTATCTGTGAGCCACTGCAAAGGCACTAGGCAGGAGGTGGGTGGTTGTAGCTGTTCCATCAATGGTTCAAACATTACATCCTTGCAGTGCTCTGCATCAGGTTTTCCTCATCCTCCAGTTATCACCTGGGAGGAGGATAGCATCATCTACCAATCCTCATCTGTTAACTTGACAAGGTTTCGTGTAAACACCACTCTCATCTGCAAGGCAAGGGATGAGAATGTGGAGAGTGCCGTGGAAAATAAAACCGTGTGCGTCTACTATGCGTTTGGTATGTTGAACTTTTACAACTGATTATTGTATTTCCCTATCGTATATGCTTGCAAATGAACAAACCTTGTGGCCCGAATTCACAGAGAAGGTTTGTTGACAAATCTCCTTTGTGAATTCGGGCCTTAAAGTTTGATTTAAAAACAAAAATACTTTAAACTATTTACCCTAAAGCCTCTCTAAAATGTTGGGAGCCCAACAGATTGGATGGCAATAATTCATTTAAATTGTGTAATGATGTGAAAGAGGATGTCATTTAACACTCAATTCTGCAAGGATTTTCAAAACAAATGTGTTTGAAGACGAATATTAATCGAAGCATACCCAATTTGGGTTTTCTGCGTACAACACAAAACCAAAGATTATTCAACGTGTGCGCAACCCGCGCTGCGAACGCAATTCCTTCTGGGTGGGGCCCCATCTGGATTTCCCACTGCTTACAGTTTCTTTAGACTTTATGGTGATTAATTTCATTCAGAAGTTATTTGCTGAAAATCTATTTAATATGTTAAAGACCTTACTTACAATAAAAGAAATATTGGCGTATGGATATTGTCTACTTTCAGAAGTAACTTCGTCCTGTGGATCCCAAGTTGAAACAACTACTGCGTCGGTAAATAATCGTGGTGCAGCTATAGTGTTATACATCTTCCTGATCATCGTGCTCTTAACATTGTTGATACTTTGTTTTGCAGCTGTGTATTTACGCAAAGCAGGTTAGTTTTTACCTGTGCTGATAGTATTGTGATGAACGAGAATGAAAATGTTTGCTTTTTACAAATATTTGTAACCTGTATCAGTTATGTGATATTGCCCTTTTTGTTATCCCACATTCCCATAAAATGTTGTTTGCTCCTTCCTTTTGTATTTTTCTTGTCATCGATCTTTTATCTATATATCATGTATTTTATGTTAATGTGTAATGTTTTTTTTAATAGGAAATGAAAAAAATGAAATGAAATGAAATATTGATCTGATCATGCTGACGATGAGCATTAAATAATAACGTTGATCTCACTGTTTAAATAAGATTAAGGACAGAACATAAAACAAACAAAATAAATTAAGAAATCATTAACAATAACAGGATGAACACTGTAAAACCGACATTGATAATTTCTCTGTTTTTCCTGTTTCCTAGGGAGAGTCTTCCGTTTACCATACACACTCAAGAAGACTTCAACGGTAATAATCTTGATCATACCTTACGTCATAGCCGTTTGTTCAATGTAATATAATAATAATAATCTATTTTTGTATAGCGCATTACACATTACAAATTATGTCACTATGCGCTTAGAAAGAAAAGCAAAGGGAAATATAGGGTACTGAGTTCCTTTACTTGTTTTACAGCAATTGAAATAAATGTGTTTTTAGGATAACACCTGAAACTATAATCCAAAACGACAACTACAACTAAGTTACAACGTAATCGTTAACAGCGATCACAGTTTTATTACGGTAACCCCAGTCACTGGATTCAATTACAATGCTACATAATAACAATGCTCATTCTCCTCTCTGGAGAGCATTCCAGCCAGTCGCTCGCACCTGGGTTGATAGAAGCAACGTATAAAAAATGCCTCGCTCAAGGTTAGCTGCATCCTTTGAGGACAATTTCCTTCTAGATGAAGGCTGCTAGTAGTCCCACTCAAAGATGGCTTTGTGTTGTTAGAAAAATCAAGCTATACAACTAACTTTATACAAAATACGAACTCCGTATTTAAAAGTTGGCCTCCGTCGAATAAAAAAAATCTATCTCTCTACTCCGTGATGTTCGGTAACTCAGTCGTGACATTCCTGTAGCAGCGAATAAACATATGCACATAAAGGACATCTAAATAACATTTAAACACTGTTTGCCATAGAGTTGGATTTTTGTTCTTAACTCTTTTCATGAAATTATTTTGGCAATATGATTTATTCCTGATTGATAAAGTTTACCTGCTCAATCTAAGAACTCGTGGAGGTTGACCAATACATTTCTGAGAAGACACAAATTCTATCCATCAATATTAATTCATATTGTCACAATCACTTCCTGAAAAAAGGTAAGGAAAAAAAGGCCATTTCATTTGCAACAGTGTATTATAAATATGTATATCTTTTTCAGTCCAAAGTATCCAGTGTAGGAAATCTACCCACATCGCAACCAGAGAGCACACCCGTCAAGGATGAATTTGAAGATGGTGACTGCAATCAAGACGTTGTAAGTTCTACCAGAATGCCTCAACAATTTTTTCCACTTAGTTAATCAAGTCTGTGTGCTTTTCCTTTGTAAGAGTTCCGCGGGAAACGAAACGAGTACAAGTATTTAAAATAAAAATTAATATTTCATCGTTCGCAAAAGTCATACAAATATTCTTAAGGTCGAATAAAATTCAATTAAGTAACGGGAACTTTCCTAATTTTCTTAACAGAAACGGACATCTTACTCGTCTTATCTTTTTCAGTCCAAAGTATCCAGCGTAGGAAATCTACCCACATCGCAACCAGAGAGCACACCCGTCAAGGATGAATTTGAAGATGGTGACTGCAATCAAGACGTTGTAAGTTCTACCAGAATGCCTCAACAATTTGTTCCACTTAGTTAATCAAGTCTGTGTGCTTTTCCTTTGTAAGAGCTCCGTGGGAAACGAAACGAGTACAACAAGTTTAAGATATGAATTAATATTTCATCGTTCGCAAAAGTCATACAAATATTCTTAAGGTCGAATAAAATTCAGTTAAGTAACGGGAACTTTCCTAATTTTCTTAACAGAAACGGACATCTTACTCCTCATTTAATATTGATTATACACTTTTAAAGTTAGAGTTTTAAAAACACAATTTGCCATTTCTTGTAAGGTACTAGTAATATTTTGATATAGGCTTTAGTAGTATAATTTGTGTGATAGTGATTGTAATGACTTCTTACATGTTTTCTTTTCTTATACGATTCTATTTTCTATTTTTAGATAGTTTAACTATGTGTATTATTATTCCTTTCAATGCAATATTTTGCATTCATATAAGGAACGAAATGATGTAAATTTTGTACATATGTGCCAAGCATTGTAGTCTAGTAAATATTATTTATCATTTGATTACTGAATGCATTTTCAATGGTGCAATAAAAATGTACAATGACACTGAAAAATTCAGCCAGTTTGACAGCAAAGGCTTGTCAAATAAAACCATCATCAAATTGAATTGTATTAATTACAGCCAAAGATACCTGAAGAACCATACAAACCACCTTTACCTGGGATGAACAGCAATGCAGGAAGTGTCCGTGCCTTGAAGGATAGCTCGACAAATGTAAGTAGAACATATTGGAATCATTCATTCATTAAAGTATCTAATGATGAGGGGTGGGGGAAAAATCTGATGGAATTTCATAGTCATTCAAATAGATTTAACTTGTGTTATGTTTGTGAAAAAACTGCCTAATAATATTGACATTTCAATATCGCAATGTTCAATCAGATAATGATTAGTTTATTCATTCATTTCATTTCAATCCATTTATTTATTCAACCATCAAAATATATATACGATCAAAATAAGTTGCATCTAAAATTTAGCAGAACACAATCAGGGGTGTCGATTTGTATCTGTGGTTAAGGGGGGGGGGGGAAATGATAGATGCCAAAATATTTTCGGCAATGGATCAAAGCAACCAAGAGGAAGAAACGTGTGGCAGGTTGCACCCCTACCTTCCAAGTTATTAACTTTTTCAAGTCACCCTCAATAAACATAACATTTCAGAGAATATAAGAGTGGTGATAACATTAATAACATGCTAAATGTAATAGTCCTGACTCTTGCCTACAGTGTAGGCCTACCAGACTGATATTATCTATTTTTAAACAAAATTTAGAGATTACCAAAAAAAATCCAATGGTGAGGGATATCAACTTCTGAAAGTATTATGTAATAATAAGCAACCAGGTTCATGTAGACTGAAATTCTTTATTTCCTGGTGATATAAACATACATTTTATGAATATTGATGTCTCCACCCAACATTCATCGTGAAAAACCCATTTCAATATTCTGTGTAAGGAGATCTCAGAAAAAGATAGTTTTCATTAGTAAATGAAAAACATATTGCTTTTGGTTCTTCATTTGATTCTCTTCCTTCTTTAATTAAACCAATAGAATATCACTGATGCAAAATTTGGTTCTCAAAATGACAGAAAATTCCACTCCTGATCTCATACAAACTATCAGTTTCTTAAAAACATGATATAAAACTTACGTTCCAACTACCAAACAACAATCTTTCATGATCTCCTTCTTCACCCAGATATACTTATCATACCAGATATAAGCATAATATTCCCCTAAGGCCCTGACCAGAGCACTAGTTTTTTCTTAAAAAATTATAACCAGTCTTAGAAGGTGCATTATTATTGGAAGGGTGTTATAAAAAAAACCTTCAAACTTAATAACATTCTAACCTTCACAAACACCCTAACTATCTTATGCATGTAACGTTTGAACACAATACATAGGCCTACACCTTCTCTTCAATAAAACTAAAATAAGTTGTGACATAATAATCTTTTTCCAAAATATCGAACTGGAGTATTCTGTTCTATTGCTTGTTTATGTTCATACAAACTAGAGCTTATTTTCAAGAGGCACTAGATCCATGTGTGTAAGAAAAAACTCTTTGTTTACCCGATTTTGTTCAGGTGTCTATACAAAATTGTTATTAAAAGATGCATGTGTTCATAATTTCTCTCGTAATTTAGGTTAATAATTTTGTTCAAGGTATATAGGAAAATTTATATCTTTATCTCCACTTGCTATCAAAAGATTTAGCTCCTTTCGGAAAATAGCTCTTCAAATGTTTTACATGTAGAGATATAAATAAACAATGAAATGGCTGAAAATCAATAAAACAAAATAGATACTGAGTATGAATCAGGGAACAAACTGAAAGTTTCGTATCCTACATGCTGCCATTTGGACAAAACTGTCTTTCTCTTGTCTTTCTTCCCTTTCTCTTCCCCCTTCCTTTTTTCTTCTTCCCGTTTCTTCCCCTTTTTCCTTTTTCACAGGTAGCAAGCCCATATAGGGCCCATATGGGGATGATCTGGGTCACTTGTGCCATCTGGGCTAAATGGAACCCATATATGTATTCCATATGGGGCCAATATTTAGTAACCCATATGGGATCTATACTATCTGGGCCAGCCCTTATGGGTCCCAGATGGGAATGAGCTGGGCGTACACATATGGGCCCAGTTTGGTATGGGTCCCATCTGGGTCCCATCTGTCTCATATGGGTCCCATATGCTTCTTGGGTGCAGATGCCTTAGGGCCCCAGATGGTTTTCCATATGGGGCCCATGTTTCAGAGAATATGGGACCCATGTGTGTCCCACATGGGCCTGCTACCTGGGTTATTATCCTCTCTGTCTCTAATTATCTCTCTCTCCCACTCTCTACTTCTTTTTTGCACTTTTGTGCTTCGCGCTTAACATTTAGCTCATTGCTTTTTAACGCAGCGCACTGCATTTCTATGATGGTGTTGATTGAATAAATTGAATAAATTCATCAATTCCTGATGGAGCCGTATGAGCGAGAATTCGATTTATTCTTGTCTCATATACGGTTGTCTTATTTACTTCGATTTCTATTTATATATGTATTATGAAAATGAGAATGATTTTGGCAATATGATTTCGTGACAGATAACGTTTATCTGCTCAGAAGTGTATCAATCAATCTAAACAGCCATAGAGGTTGACCAAGAAAGTTCTGAGAAGATACAAACTCTATCTATCAAGATTAAATCATATTGTCACAATTATTTCATGAAAAAAAATATATTCGAAAGTCATGGGTAACAGTGTACTATAATTATAATATACATATATATATATATATATATATATATATATGTAATATATAATATAATCCTTTTAGTCCAAAAGAAAGAGCGAAGGAGATCTACAGGCATCGCAACCAGAGAACACATCCATCAAGGATGAACCTGAGGATGATGACCTTTCCCAAACGGACGGCAATCAAGACCTTGTAAGTTTTAGCAAAATGTATTAAAGATTTGTTTTTTCTCCAGTTAATCAATTCTGTGTGTTTTTTCTCGGTACGAGTTTCATGGGAAAGGAATAGAGTTCAACACGCATTAATATTCGATAGTTCACAAAGGTTTTAAAAAACATCATAAGGTCGTAAAATCCGAATAAATAACGAGAACTTTCTTTATAAATTCCTTAACATTATTGACTACAATCAAGACCTTGTAAGTTTTACCAGAATGTCTCAACGATTTGTTTTTCTCCAGTTAATCGATTCTGTGTGCTTTCCCCCTCGTATACTTCCGTGGAAAAGGAATAGAGTTCAACAAGTATTTCAAAACAGCGTTAATATTTGATAATTCGCAAAGATCTTAGAACTATTCTTAAGGTCGTATAAAGTCCAATTAAGTTACAAGAACTTTCTTTTTTTCTCATTTCCTTAACAGAAATGGACCGTTTACTCATCATTGAGTATTGATTGTGTACTTTTAAAGTTCGAATTTGTATTTAACTACAAATTGCTATTTCTTGTATAGTACTAGTAATATTTTGATGTCATAAGCCATAGGCTTTATTATAATTTCTGTGATAGTAATTGTAATGACTTCTTACATTTTTTTTTTTACAGCATTTCATTCTCTATTTAAGATGGTTTAACTATGTATATTCGCTCCTTCAATATTTTGAATTGACATAATGAACAAATTAATGGAATTTCTACATATTTTTTCACGCATTGTGTTCTTTATTAAATGCAATGACATGGGGAATGATACTGAGACATTGTTATGTACATGTATAGTTCAGGAGCTTTACATCAAAGGATTGTCAAATAAAACCATCACTGAATTGAATTGAAATAATTAAAGGAGGACACACTTGAAGAACCAGACAAATCTTTTCTACCTGGGATGAACAAGATTGGATATGGAACTGTCGATGTGTTTAAGGATAGCTGGAAAAGTGTAAGTAGAACATATTGGCATCATTTATTTATTCATCATTCATTCAATTATCTACTTATGGGGGTGGGGTAAATCTGATGGCATTTCAAATTCATTCAAATAAATTTAGAGTGTGATATGTTTGTGAAAATACTGCTTAACAATATTGGCATTTCAATATCGCAATGTATTTGTTCAATCAGATAATGATTAGTTTATTGTTAATATTAACATCTCTCCAAGCTTGCCGAAAGAAAAGGGAATATGAAAAATTACTCTTGGACATGTATCCCTTGACTTTTGCCCGTGTTGACCGAAAGCTACCCACACAAAAACTACCCCGTAGGGAATTTTTTTTTTTTTTTTTTTTTTTTTTTTTGGGGGGGGGGTTATTGAGAAATCACATCAAACAAGCAGCTCGCAGGCTGAAAATGTTCAATTTACAAACAAGTTAAGAAGATAGAGAGAGTATAAACATATACAAAACTAAAATACATATTGTAAGTCATCGTAAAGATGAAATCGAAATTGCTAAACAAAGTTATACAGTAATGTAATAATATACTTTCATGTTGAAAAACCAAGACGGTGGGAAGGAGAGAATGGAGAAGAAAAAAGGAAGTTGTTTGAGCGAAAGAGTTGAGAAAGTATTTAACAATTGCTAAACAAACATTTCTATTACAAAAAATGAAATTAAGCATTAACAAAAACCTATTGGATGGGATGAAATTAAACCGTAAAAGTCAAAATGACAGTCTCTATTCCGTTTTCCCCTTTAACATAAATGTAATGACAGCATTCATCTAGATCGAGAAAGTTGTTCAAATAAAATTAAAATGAGTATTTAAATAACAATATAGGGTAATTTCGAATTGGATATTGCACATTACACTGGAGAAAAAGACCCAAGTCAAATAATTGGCAAGGGAATAAATTTGTATTAAAAAAAAATATAAAAGAAGGGAACACTAATGACCTAATGAAACGACGGATTAAAATGTGCTTACAGTTTTAGGCAGTCTGAGAGTAAATTGGATGAACGTGTATATTGCAAACGTATTGTTATACCGGTTTGTTTAAAACCAAATATCTATTAATATGCATGAGAATAAAAAAAGTTATTTGTCTAAAAAATATAGTACAGAGTGTATTTAACAATTGCTATTGTTAATTGTAATGACATCATTCATCTGAAACAAGAAAAAATTGATATTTGAATAACAATATTACATAATTTCGTATAAGATATTGCACATTATATTAGAGATAAAAAGCACAACATTAATATTTAGCAAGGGCATACAATTGAAGTTTTTAAAAAAAAGGAACAATAATGAATTAATAAAACAATGAAACGATTTATAGATTCGCGTTAAGCAGTCTTATTGCAGAGGGCATTGTTGACGAGCGGTACCGAGCAGTCCTACACATGGGGGTATCCAAGTGGTGCAAGTAACGTAGACGCCGGGAGGATATTTCGCTGCGTAGGGGCGGAAGGAAGTCTCGATGCCTGGAAGAAGCCAACAGGCTCTTGGCAAAGGAGAGCAGCAACTGCTCATGTCGCTCGGACATGCGATTGATGGCAAGTGTTTCCAAAGCGTGTTCATAGGAGATGTACTGATCCCTCAGGATGATGTGACATATACGCTTTTGGATCCTCTCAATATCATTGATTTGATTTGTTGTTATGCTTGTAGACCACGATGGAGATGCGTATTCTAATAACGGACGAATATATGTGGAATATATATTCACTAGGTCGTGCATCGGGACTGACGCTTTCCGCAGACGACAAATCATGAATATTCTCCTTCCAGCTCTTGAGACCACGTCGGAGATATGGCTATCCCATTTGAGATTCGCCTGTATAGGAACGCCAAGCAGCTTCAGGCAATTCGTGTCCTCCATCGGTTGATTATTCAGATGTTAGCTCGGAGGATTCGCTGTTTTTGGAGAAGTCAATTGACATGGTCTTACTTTTCTGAACGTTCAATTTCATGTCAGTTTTCTTACTCCAACATGTCAGCTTGTCGAGATGATCCGCTAACGTCGAGACGCCAGAAGTGGAGCGGACCTCAAGAATGCTCAAATCGTCCTCATATTTCCACCGTTGATCGAAATCCATCAGAGCGTCGTCTACCAGCGTTAGAAATATCAAAGGACCCAGCTTGGTCCCTTGAGGCACTCCGCAGGTCAGCGAAAATTCTTCGGAGATACAGGGACCGATTCTGACTGCCTGGGTTCGATCACTCAAGAAGCTAATTACAGTTGATAAGATTGCTTCATCAACACCATACTTAATGAGTTTGTGTTTCACAACATTATGATTGACGCGGTCAAAGGCCTTTGAACAATCTATCGTGCAGAGTGTAGCACATTTCCTAGGCTTGTCCAAGCCACGGAGGATGGTATCCATGAGGCTCACCAAGTAGTGAGTGGTTGAACTTCCCCTTATGTTGCCGAACTGACGCGGATCCAGGTGAGGTAAAAATAACGCCTGAAACTATATTCCAAAACAAAAGCTTCAGCTACAGTTTTTTTTTAAAGCTTCACCAGTTACAACAAAGTCGCCGAAAGAGTAACCCAGGTCACTGGATTCAATTTCGATTCTCTACATTGCAGTGCTCATTCTCCTCTCCACTGGAGAGTATTCCAGCCAGTCACTCGTTTGAAAGCACACCCATGCTAATCCAAGTACAATGACATTCACATCCTACCTGGTATCAAACACCTGGGTGGATGGTAACATTGTTGAGAAAATGTCTCGCTCAAGGTCAACAATCTCCTTAAAGAGAATGTTGAGTTCTGGGGAGAGATGACATATCATTGTTCTTATGCAAGTGTAGAAGAACATCAGAGTAAAAATGTCCCCTGAAAAGCATGGCTCTTCAAATGCCTTCATATTCTAAATATGGCAAGTAACAGCTCAAAAATGATGCCCGATTTTCATGCCACATGTTTTTGTAGTCCCATATAAATCTTTCTGTGTAAAGTGCTTGTTACTTTACCAGGACTAGGTCAAATTTCTTATCATTTTGATGTAGAGAACCTTGCAGTACACATCAACACTTATATGCTACATGATCAACTTTTTCTGATCAATTCCACATCGTTTCTTTCACAATGCAACAGCATGACCAGAACTCAATTGTTGTTTTCAAGGACCAACAGAACTTAAACACAGACAAAAACTAAACAAGACAGACAGATGAATAGATGTGAGAAACGGGAGTAGAATTATACTGACCTACATAGCAAATAATTGTCTTAAATATTGATCACAACTATAAATCTAGACGATATCGACTCAAATAAAGTAACTTCAGTTTGCGCTTAAATACATAAATACTGACCGATTGCGCTATTCTTGGTTCAAGGGAATTCAAAAACCTAGGTCCAGTGGACCCCAAAATATTAAGGGCAAATTGCGTTCTAACAAGAGGTAAGTGATATGCTTGCGCCTGTCGTGTGGAATAACTATGAACTTGGTTATTTTTCTTAAATATTCTAGCCAAGGCTACTGGCAGTAGACCTGTATTCAATTTATACCTTAGAGCTCCTAGTTGTAAATGATAATATCTTCAACTTTCAAAACACCACTATTATAAAAAGACAAACATCTTATTTCCGGGTTTGTGTCTTAGGAGGTGGGCGATGAGCAACAGCTCCCATTGGTGGGACAGGTGCTTCTCGATGATCTAAGCTCCGCGCCAGAAGAAACGAAGGATTGTATTAAGGGGGTCGTCAATACATTGGTAGAAAAACGTGTCAAACCTTACAAGATTTACCAGTCACATGTGGATCCCAATACTTCATTTATGGTCAGTTGATTACGTTTTGTATATCAATAGGTTTATTGTTCATTTGATAAAATGCTTGTATTTAAACATACAATCGCATTATAAAGAGATAAGCCAGAAGGGATTCATTTTTGTCATAGTTATGAGAGATACAGATTTAAGACCTTATATAATAATCATTCATGCCGTTCTAAAGCGCATATTACTTTGGATACCATTACTGTAATAGCTTTAGCTCGGGCAACCGTTGCACTCGGTTCATTCAAAGAAGAAATCCTACCATGTACTTACATAGTATACCTGGGTCGAGTGTGGCAGACGTAGATTATGTATTGCCAGATGTCGTATAGTGCTATGGCAGAGATTAGAACTCCGTACCTCGAGGTTCACAGTCTGGAAACTTATCTACTAGGCCAAAAAATATTTACATTTACCATCATATACATATGCTGTCATTTAGACGATCCACGCAGTACTATGCCATATTTCCCGTTATTTCCTTTAGAATGCGACTTTGCAGAGAAGCATGAAGACTGAGAACTTAGGTAATCCTGATGCTGCATTCGTAGATATGGTTCTTCAAGCCCTTGATAAGATTCGTGATGAAATAGACAGAGACGAGTGTGAGATCTTGATCACCAAGCCTGACTTCCAAGAAGTGACGGATGAATCTCAAATACCAGACTATCAAGGAAATAGATTCATCAATCAGGTGAGAACATTTTTCATCATGTTTGTATTGGTATCAACGCAATACAACAAAGCTATATAACGCAAAAAGTAAACCATACACCTAGAATCTGTATCAGAAAGATCAAGGTAGGTCCCATACATTAACAAGTATTATTACATCGTATGGCATTGTGAACCTTTTGCCTGATTCAAGCTTTATTAGGGCTATCACCTCGATGCAGTGATCAGATAATAAAATCTCAAATGTAGACATGTGGTTGGTTACATATGGGACTAAATATCTTGGACTTGACCTTATGTAAACATAATTAGTGATATAGTAAATTTGAGTATAATTATTGCTTGATTGTTGAGTCAATTTTTTAATTTTGTGTTGTTGTTTTTATTTTATTTTACAGGCAAACCTTTGTTACCACCTTCACTATCACGAGTTTAGAGGAATATATCCTTTTAACATTCATGTTTTGATTACGATATTTCTTTACACAGTCTCTTCCCATGCCAGCAAACATGACGTCATCAATGAACAGTAGTATGGTGGCGTGTAACCCAATGCCTACTGTCTTACGGGAGAAACTAGTGAAGAAGCCATCCGAGAGAGCTGCGATACGCAACGCTATTTCACAAATCATTCTGGATTCTCTGAAGACAGGGCACCCCGGACTAAAGATCAACAATAAATATAACTTGAATTGCAGTACTGCTATGTTGCCGGTAGGTAGATATGACATCTGTAAATGTAATATAGATATATCGAATGCCATGAGAAGCCTGGCTATTTTATAGACTCAAGGGGTCAGGGAGGATGCAAAGTTCCCAAGAGCCAACAGCAAGGCCTCGAATATTAAAGCAGTCGATTTGTCTTATATATACCGAATTAACACAAAATAATCTAATAAGAACTCTTACCTTATCATTTTCTTGAGTAACACTGTCTGTTAATCTGTGCTGGAAAGATGACTGAATGTTTAATACAATCATTTGGGAATCGCAGACAAAAAGCATTGTATGTTTTTAACACTTAAACCAATGGGGATCGCAGCAAAATTTTACTATTTTCCCGGTACCCGGAATCTTGTGGGAATCTCACTCATGAGCTATTAACCGGTGCTGGCATTGTTCGTTTCTTTACGGAAATAGCTAAAATCACGACTCCAATTTCGTCCAATCAGATGGCTAGATTTCTAAATAAAGGTATATAACATACTTTAGTAAACAGTATATGTGAGAATAGACTATTAATATGTTACTCGAAGATAAACTTCATTTATTCATCGCCTAGGGCAAGGAATACAGGGGCTTCGGTAGGGTTGTATGCCCCCTGCATAGTGAAGGTCCTATATGGATACAGTAATAATTGAATTTGTAAGAGTGCAACCGATTTATATAATTAAGGCCATCCCTCTATTCTGCCTTTCCTCCCGGTTATTCTAGAAACCAGTCATGATTCTGATTACTACGATATTTGAGGGAAGCTTTCACAGAATAAATTTTAGCATTTCGCCCGTCACTATAATCCGTAATCTGAAAATGTTGGGTGGACTGTATGCTAGCTTTACTTATTTATTTATTTTTGATTACCTGAAACTGTTGTTTTCATGCTAAAGTGATGATTTTTTTTCGCCAAGGTGGCCTTTTGGAATATTATGGGAAACACACTTACTGAATGTTTAAACATATATTTATTAACTTTGTAAATATTGTCCAGAATCTAAATAAGCATTTTATCAATGTATTGGTTGTTATTTAAATTTATTTCCTCTGTTATTGTATTTTTTCTTAGTGTACCAATGCTTCATCGTATGCACATGAAGTCGTAGACGACGAGGTTTCCCGACTTGTTGCTTTTTGGACCAGTAAGACTGTCAAACTAGACAATGACGTCAACAGTCAAATCATGAAGTATTTATTTCCTCTCAAACCAAGAAATGTCAACAAGGCAAGCATACCAATATCATAATAATGTGGTCCTTTCTCTTTCTCTCACTTTCAGCTATTTAGTACTTTATGGAATTTCAATTAAATTTGAATCACATCAATGGCTAAATCAAAATTATAGCTTCGCGGTAAGTTTCACTCTACATATTAATATAACCAAGTGTTTAAGCATCCTTTTCTTTTACATTCAGGCACTTTTCCTTTTACTATAAAAGGACCGTCTTGAGAAGAAGGCCTTGATATTTTATGATACCTTGTCTCGTTTATTTTGCTATTTTAACTTAACAATTGCTGCTTCTGTTTTTTTCACAGAGTTCAGATTCACATCCAGTCGTGAAAACTCGGCAGGAAGAGGACGAGATTCCAGACATTCCCGCGACAGCAAAGCTTCTCGGAGACAAAATGCCGAGATAGCGAAGAGTCTATTAACTGCATACCTCCTATTACCTGAATTCATGTCAAACTATTAAAGGGGAAGTCCACCTAAAATGTCCACCTCGGTAAAAGCGCAAACAGTCGAGAAACAGATCGGTGAATGTTTGAGCAAAACCTGAAAAAATGGAAGTAATTAATTGTTGGAAGTCGCAATCGATCAAACATATATTGACAACTTTTGAACGCATCTTGCGAGTTCTCCTCCCATTTGTACTTTTCAACACAAAAGAAGAATCAAAAACTTTTTTTTTTCTAGGAACAAAAAAGTTCTAATCGCGCATGAACCCTAAGTATTATCTTTACACAAATGTTACACAACCCCAGTATGATAACAGAATCCTTCATCAACAACTAGGAAACTGAAAATTTATTACATTTTTGTACAGAAAAAAGGGGATTGGACCTCGAAAGATACGTTTGGTTGACCAAAACTTAACAATTTAATTGCTTCGTTCTTTATCAGGTTTGCTCAAATATTCACCGATCTGCTTCTCTGTTTGTAATGTTTTGCGTTTCTGCTGAAACCAACCTTATATTTAAGTAACAGTTTTCTTGCCGTTTGATATAATGACAAGTGACTTATTGCAGAAAATAGACGATGACGTGGCGTAAGTGAATACAAAGATATTGAATTTAATTGAATCTCATTGCCAAGCATATGAGAGATAATGGAAGTTTCACTCATCCTATTTTGCATGATTGTGCTTCATATCAGAGGAGATGGTTTGACAGAAGAGTGCTTTGGTAGATTAATAAAGAGGATCGTTCCTTTAAATCACAAAAAGTTAGCTACAAATGAATAGAGGTATAAAGTATTGCAGAAGTGATTACTTTTAAATTTTGAAGAGTGTATGTTTTTTTTTTTTTTAATATTTTCACATGTACAGAAATTCGTATGCTAATGTTTGGCTTCATATACTTACCCTCCTTGAGATTGTGTGTAGTACTTAAATTAAATTGTGGAAGAAAAAAACTATCTGGAATCTACTGCATGGGACAGGTTTAACAGGTTCGTGATGTAGACATAAGACTTAGCTGTGAAATGTAAGGTTTCACGTAATCGGAAAATTAAAAAGATGTTGGCCCAGCCTTGTTAAAAATTCCATGCACCGCACAAAGAAATGTGTGTATGATGGGACCACTTACTCATGGCAAGAAAGTTTGGTCCAAACTGAGCCTTTTCTCGTCATATCCTGAATATAATAACATTTGAAGAGCAATCTTTTGGAATTTTATACTATGATATATGAAGAATGTAAAAAACCTCAATAATTATTATTTCTTATCCACCCAAATACAAATTATTCTCTATAAAATTCTGAAAAAGCTAATGAGAGAATTACGGAGAGTAAAATAATAAAAACGTCATGTACGAATGTTGCGATTTTGAAATAAGCTGAAGTCACATTTGATATAGAAAAATTGACAATGCTGTCATTTTCGTTTTATGCATGTAGAACTATAGAAGGAATTATTGAACTGATTGTGAGTAAAATGAACACTGCCTACGTCATTGATATGATACAAACCTCACAGTCTGCAGTTATTACAATGGCGCATGGATTATAATGCATATCTTGAGAACTTATAAGGGTATTTAGAGTTGGTTGGTAAGTAGTGTTATTTGCATGTAACTATAGGTGTGATATAACATAGAGACTATTCGTGAGTTGCACATGTACTTCTTTTCGCTTTTTATCATAGATTATGTCTAGTTGCATTTGTAGACGATATATGTATACGTGGGATATTCACATTTAGTAAAAACCTTACTTCCATAGTACCCTATATTGAAAAAGACTTTAGTTTGCAACCTACATGGCTATTTTTGCACAACTGTGAGTGTTATTTCTAGTTATGGAAAGATATGATGATCATTTTAATTTATGTATTATATTTGGTTAGAGTGCCCATGTCTGCGCCTTTTTAATATAGTATACAAATATACAATGACACTCGAGGATCTAGCTGAAACTATTCGCATCGAAGGAACATCAACTAGTACTATTCTCCCGAGGGCCATCGGCCCGAGGGAGAAAAGTACTAATGATGTTCCTGAGTGCGAATAGTTTTAGCTTGTTCAGAGAATGAGTCATTTTATATTTGTTTTATATCCCTTCCATCTGTATTATTCCTCGTACACTTCTGTAATAACATGAACCTTATACTCACATTCACATCTACATTCAGATCGAAAAGAAATAAAGAAAATTGCACGGCTCAAATAAAACATTGAAGTATGTAAAAATGTTTAGCTGGCGCTAGTGTAGTGCAGTTATCGCACAGCGTAAATTGCATATGGCTTGAGCGCCGTTACACCGCAGGGGTTGACCGCGCAAAGGCACTTTGAAATCATGTACGCGCTCGCTGGGAAACTGGTGGACAGGTGGGCAGGTGGACAGGTGGACAGGTGGACGTATTTTGTTGAGCTCTCCGATAAATTGCCTTATTTGCAGACATTTTACATTTTCACGCGAACTCCTATACTTCGCTGGATGGCGTACGTGATGGTGATTATTTTCTGAAAATTTTCTCGTGAAATCAATAATTTTCATCTCAATTTTGGAGACTTTTGTGACTTTCGTTTCGTTTTTCGGTCAATAAGAACTTTTGAATATCAACAAGATATAGGCCCTACGCGTACCTACTTAATTTTCATAACAATAAAAAAAACATTCCGTTAACAACCATCACTTTCATCTGCTTATCTTACTTTACGCATCCTCATCACATCTTTGGTTGCAACGCTTCATCATTCGCGCATCTCTATTATTACGTCATAGCTTAGACACCTGTTAATTTGTTATGGCGAGTAACTTTCACTTACTAGACGATGAAGTGTCTATGAAATCTACTGTTAAGGACTCCGTCTCGGAAGCTGTTAGTTATGCCTTGGTTGCTGGTGCTAGCACAAAGAAGAGGCCGCAGTCTTCGACAACGCCCAGGACACCGGGACCGAAGCTCAACAACGATCTCGTCGCAGATCTAGTGCGTCAGGTTGTTGAGGTTCTGCAACCAATCATCATCAAGACCGTGGCGACTGCTGTAACTGCAGCCATGGATTCTGTGATGGAAGGCTTGAGGAAATTGACTCCTCCTCCTCCTCCTCCTCCTCCTCCTCCTCCTCCTACTCCGTCTGCAGCAGCATCCGCCCAGACCAACGTTCTAAGGTTTGAGGTGGACCGTCTGGAGCAATACAGTCGTCGGGAAAACATCAAGATTTATGGCCTGCCTGTGATAGCTGGGGAGAACACGTCCGATGTGGTGGTGAAGCTGGGGAGGGAGATTGGTGTGGAGGTGACGAGAGATGACATCAGCGTCTCTCACCGTCTACCTGGAGGACGATCTGGTAAGCCGGCGCCAATCTTGGCCAAGTTCGTTCGCAGAGAAAAGAGGACGGAGTTCATGAAGAAGAAGCGACGACTGAGGGAGACGAAGCGGGATGTCTTCATCGCAGAAGATCTGACTTCGCTCCGTGCCAAGATGCTCAGGAAGGTAAAAGAAGACCGCGAAAGTATCGAGAAAGTCTGGACCATCGATGGCAGAATCTTTTGCCTACTGAATGGCGGCACGAAGGTAATAATCGACACGCCTGATGACCTCCTGAAGATCGGGTGGTCCGAGGACCGTCTTCGTTCTTCAGGTCTTTTCTTGATGGGGTAGGGATACGTCGGCCCGGTGAATGTGACGAAGCACGCTAATCTTTTAAGTTTAAACGTTTGCGGGTTAAGAAAAAATTAAATGATGGAATATTGGAACAGTACATTAAAGATTTTCATATTGTATGTTTGAGTGAAACTAAAGTTGACGATATTAATGAACCTTTTTTACCTGATGGCTTCAAATACCTCTTTAAAGACAAACAAAGTCAAAGCAACTTTCCGTTTGGTGGCGTTCACGGACTTGGTGTTCTACTACGAAAAGAAATATTCAATTTTGTGTCAATTATTAAACAGGCTAAATCTGAAACAGTATTTTGGTTAAAGATCGGCGAGAAGGCATTTGGATTTCCGTTTATACTTGGTGCTGTTTACATTCCTCCTGAAAATTCTAAATATTTTAACGAGTCTATGTTTGATGACATTGCTTCTGATCTTCTCATGTTAAAAAATGTACATAACATGCCATTTTGTCTTCTTGGAGATTTTAATGCAAGAACAGGTGTTGAAAATGAAATCTCTGGTTATTCTGAGGATTGCGCCAACAGTCATTATGTGAACGATTTTGATAACGATTATATAAACACTGATAATTTCCAGACTTATAACATAAGGTTGAGAAGATGTAACAGCGACGCTGTTATTAATAACCACGGAAAAAGATTTCTTGAACTATGTAGACATTTTAAACTGATTATTGCAAACGGTCGTGTAGGCGTGGATAAACAAGGTGATTTTACATGTGCTAACACAAGTACCATTGATTATTGTGCCGCATCGCTCGAATTATTCCATGTCCTTAATCATTTTGCGGTTGATGTATTTGACCCTTTTTTGTCTGACAAACATAATCCCATTGTATTAAGATTGAATAGCGAAAGCAGTTATGAAAAATGTAAAAGTGAAGGAAAAGTGAAAAAAGTTTCGGGATCAACGACGAAAATTAAATGGAGTGTAGATTCTGCTAAAGATTTTGTTGATAACATCGATCAAAGTCTAGTTGAAAATATACATCATGCTGTTGATCGTTTGGAGGGTCACGACATTCAGATTGATCAGGAATCAATCGATAATGTAGCTTGTTTATTAAAAAATATTTACCTTACGGCGGCCAAAAAAAGTGGAATGGTAAAAACCTATGGAAATTATAAACCTTGTAAATCTGGTCGAAAGCGGTTTGATGCAAACTGTGCTCGGTTAAGGGCTCAGTATTTTCATCTTAAAAATCTTAGGAAGACTGATAAATCTGAACGTATTGAAAAGGAATATACCAAAGTTAAGAAAATGTATAAAAAAGCTATTCGTTCAGCTCAAAGCAAC